CACCCCAACCTATCAGTAGCTTTTTATTTTTATTTTTTAAAATTAAAATCCAAGTTAGTTAACATATAGTGTAATAATGATTTCAGGAATAGAATTTAGTGATTCATCACTTACATAGAACACCCAGTGCTCATCCCCACAAGGGCCTCCTTAATGCCCGTCACCCATTTACCCCGTCCCCCCACACAACACCCCTCCAGCAACCCTCAAGTTGTGCTCTATATTTAAGAGTCTCTTATGGTTTGTCTCCTTCTCTGTTTTGATCTTCTTTTTGCTTCCCTTCCCCTATGTTCATCTGTTTTGTTTCTTAAATTCCAATCATGAGTGAAATCGTATGATATTTGTCTTTCTTTGAATGACTTATTTCGCTTAGCATAACACACTCTAGTTCCATCCACGTAGTTGCAAATGGCAAGATTTCATTGTTTTTGATCGCCGAGTAATATTCCATTGTATATCTATACCACATCTTCTTTATCCATTCATCAGTTGATGTCCATTTGGGCTCTTTCCATAATTTGGCTATCGCTGATAGTATCATTAGCTTTTAAATTAAAAAAAAAAAAACGAGCTGATGTAGATAATGGGCATAGCACAGGGTCTGAGCTCAATCACTGATGTCATGTCCTCAGGAATCTAGATTTCTGGATGTTGCTGCTGCCTGCTGAGGGATGGTCTAGTCACTAGCTGCTGAGCACATAGCAAAAGCTGCAGGTGAGAAGCAGAAGATCTGTTACCCATTTTCTCTGTGACCTTGGCCAAGTCACTACATCTGAAGACCCAAGGCCTGAAAATGAAAGAAAATGGACTCTAAGATCCTAATCAGCACTTTATTATTTTCAGGAGGGCTCGTATGGGTCACTGGAAGGAAGGTAAAAGCTCCAAATTACTGGTGTGCTCTTCAGGACTCCCTTTTCTCTCCTGGAATCTTCCAACCACAGCACCCCCAGCCCAAGTTTTCCCGGATGCTCCTGGTGGAGGGAGAGCACTTGCTCATGGCAGGGTTCCACCTGCTGAACAATGGTGTATGAGCCACTCTGGAGGTCACCTGTCCCGGCTTTCTCTCTTTACAGATGAGGAAACCAAGGTCCAAAGATGTGAAGGGCTCCACCCACCATCACACAGCCGTGGGTCCCGGAGCCGGGACTGGAACCTGCTTTCTCAGACTCTGTCTGCCACACCCACTGCTTCTTCTCTTCTACCCGGTAAGCAGTCAAGCGCAAGGTAGGAGTGACGCTTGGACTCCTAACATGAGGAGCGTCGCCTGGAACCGACTGACCTGAGCAAACGTAGTTGCTCCTTTGAGGCCAAAACACAAAAGTTGGGAGACCTGTCTTGCTTCCTGTTCCAGCCCAAGCTGGCTGTGTGTTTTGAGTAAACTACCTAAATGCTCTGTGCCTTTTCTCCACCTCAGCCCCAGCTACCCCGAAAGCTGGACTGCGGCCCTAATCCCTTACCGTAAACCATTACACGAAAAGCCCCAAGGGGAGAAAGCCTTGTTTTAAATGCGAAGCCACTCAGAGGGATTGCTCAGCCCCCGACTTCTACTGAGGGACTCTGTTTGAAGCTTTCTGCCCAGTTCCCAGTTTTGTGCTCGGCTTTGGAGTTTTCTCTTGCAGGGAGTGAACAAAGCCCATTTAGAAACCCAAACCTACCCACCAGCCATTCCCTGGGGTCTAGGCCCAGCTCCTGGATCTATCTGGGCGGCCGAGAGAGGAAAGTGCCTGCCGCCAGATTCAATGGGCCCATTATGCTCGGCTAATTCCACAGCAGAACACTGTGTCTTTGAGGGCCTGGCAGTAACTCGTCCTACCTGTTCAGAGTCAGTACGTCCTGTTTGCTGGAGGGATGAGGGAAAGCAGCACACATCACATCTCAGCGTCGTAAATGCCATTTCGAGTTAATTATTACCACGTACAGTAGTACTGTAGTCAAACTCTGCGCACACCAAGTGTCCTTCCCAGGCAGGCTGGCGGGCAGCGCATAAGGGGGTCATTGTGTGCGCTGGGCGCGGGAGGGAGGGGCGCCTGGGGAAGCCAAGTGTGGTCTCATAGCTCACACCCTCGGGAGGGGGGAGGCTGGGACACTGGGCGCATGTTTTCTCATTTTATAAGGCTGTCTGTTGACCTTCACTGTTGACATGGGGGTACTGGTACTGAAGGTGAAATCCATGCCGTTGGACAAAATACCCTGTCGCTGTAACCTGACGTTACAGAACAGCGGCCGGATCCCACCCAGGAAGCGTTCCCATCGCTGGCCGGAACCGGTTCTTTTGCAGCCAGAGCCATCCTCCTCCTGTTGAAGAGTCACGTGGGCCCGTTTTGCAGGCTGACAGTCGGAGGGGGGTGTTTCTAAACACCTGAAAGGCTCAAGTTGATGGCTATCAAGCCCCAACCAGTCTCTTCCGTCTGCCAGAGACGAGGCAAGAATGTTCCCCTCCTGAGGTCTCGGTTTACAGCCTTGTCACGTTGATAATTAGGCAAGGCTTGCCACCTGCACTCCTATTTGGAGGTTCCTCCCAAGACAGTCCTGACATCGCCCCTAATCAGCCCAGCTGTGACTCCACCTGTTTCCACTGGCACCTTCAGACAGAGGGGATTGCTCTAGGGCTAGAAGGCTGTGTCCTTGGCCAACCTTGTGGGTCAGCAAAACCAGTTGGATAATTTGGCCACACCTAGAAGATCCTCCTCTCGGGGAGGGGGGGGGGATAAAATCCCCCAATGCCTGAAATCCCGTCTTTAGTGCACACTTTGTTGCAATTCTCGTTTTCAGTCCAAATAACTCTGGGGTGGGGGTAGGGATGTACATTCTTATCAGACTGAGAAAGGTAGCGTGAAAGTCTTGGGTGTTAGAGGCGGGGGTGCTGCACCAAAAATGGGGGAAGGGAGTCCAAGAAGTGGGAGCGGGCTGGATGCTACCGAGGAGTTATGGCACCAAAGGGCACAATGAGAGTGTTTCCCGAGGGGCCAGAGCTACACGTTCTTGTTTCCTCTTCCCCCTTAAAACACATATTAAACAAAACAAAACAAAACCATAGACTTCCGTGCATATGAATTCATAACGACTGCAGTGGACGCTGTTGTGTGCCCACCCAGCAAAAACGACATTCCCCTTTCCTTTGGGGACCCTTCCTTCCATCTGTCAAGTTCACGTGGCTCGGGGGAAGCTGACATCACCCCCATGCTGTAAGCATCATTCAGGCCCGGTCGGCCACATCACTGCACCCCGAGGTCCCACCGGCTACAGTCACTGTTACACGGACAGGCAGGCGTGTGGCCTGTGCTAAGCCAACAGACCTCCAGTGTGGGGCTTTTCCTGAACCTGTTGGAGAAGGGGAGTGGTGTTTCTGCTGTTGGCGCTGAGCGGACAGAATGGAAGCCTAGACCAGCTCGCGGTCTTACGATGGCACGCGAGCCCCTGCCCGCGAGTGAAAGCAATTCGGAGGAGCACAGAACTAAAACTCTCAGACGGCCCCCCTGCTTTTGCTAGCTCTGACTCCACCTGCAGCCGTGCAGCCGCACAACCCCAGACTCTCTAGTTGCGTGAGCCAAGAAATGTCTGCCTCTCTCCGAAGCCAGCTTGAGTTTCTGACGCAACAGAGCAAGTTCTAAGTATAACGCAGACGTCATCGTATCGTCTCCAGGGCTGCCAGCCCCCGGCTGTTGGCAACATTCTTCTCGGATTCTGCCACATTCTAGTGAGCTTGGCTCTCACCTGGGCCGTGGTGTACCCATCAGTTAATTGTGGGGAATCATGGGACAGAGAGAAAGAAGGGAAAGAGAATTACTGATATGGAAGAACTTGGCTTTCCTTGGAAGAAACACGCTGTAGAAATCCCAAGCGTGACGTTGACAAAGCTGGACTTCACATTTTGTCCTTGAGCGGACCCTGGAGCTTTGCTACTCAAAGCGAGGTCCCTGGACCAGCAGTGCACGTCGCCTGGCCCCCGAGCGAGGGAAGAACCTCAGCCGTATCCCAGACCTACAGATCAGAACACGCGTTTGCACAAAGCCCTCAAGTGACTGGTGACCACGCGAAAGGCTGGCAAGACTGCTCGAGAGACTGCAGAAGAGCAGGACCCTGGGAACGCTTGTGGCCATTCTATATGCTGGGATCCCAGGCCGAGTCTCAGCTCCCTTGCTTTCAGAAAGTTTGAAAAACACATATCACTTCAATCTCCACGTTTCACGGAAGGGGGATAAACTAAGGCTGAGGGACGAAATGACTTGTCCAGGATCAGAATCAGCTGCTCTGTCAGGATGAAAAGCAAGGGTTCTGAAAACCTTTATGACCTTGGTTTAGGCAAAGGTTTCTTAGATATGACACCAAAAGCATGATCCATCAAAAAAAAAAAAATATTGGACTAGCTCAAAATTAAAAACTTCTACCCTTCAAAAGATACTGTTAAGAAAATAGAAAGACAAGCCATAGTCTGTTAGACAATATTTGCAAAACACCTTATTTGATAAAGGAGTTTTACCCTTTCAAACTCACTGATAAGAAACAACCCAATTGAAAATGACAAAAATAGGGACACCTGGATGGCTCAGTCGGGTGAGCGTCCGACTTCGTCTCAGGTCATGATCTCACAGTTTGTGAGTTCGAGGCCCGTGTCCGGCTCTGTGCTGACACCTTAGAGCCTAGAGACCGCTTCAGATTCTGTGTCTCCCTCTCTCACTCCCCCTCCCCGGCTCGTACTCTGTCTCTCTCTCTCTCAAAAATAAATAAACACTAAAAAAATATTTAAAAAAAATTTAAACATACATTGATCATCTGACCAAGAAATTCCACCCCTAGGCATTCATCCAGGAGAAACGAAAACTCAATGTTCACATGCAAAAATAAAAGTGCAAACGTGACCATTTATGGAGGCTTTAGTCGCAATAACTGAAACGTGGAAATAACCTAAATATCTTTCCACTGGTGCATGGGTAAATAAACTGTGGTACGTCCACAAAACGGAATATTCCTCAGCAATGAAAAGGAATGAAGAAAGAAAATAGAACACGGGTGAGTCCCAACAGCATTGTGCCGAATGAAGAAATCTAGACTCAAAAGGCTATGTACTACATGATTCCCCGTCTTGCGGGTCTGGAGGCCTGAAGTCTGCCATCGGAGTGTTGTCAGAGTTGTTCCTTCTATGGGCTGGGAGAGAAAGACCTATTCCAGGCCTCTCCCTCTTTGGCTTGTGGATGGCTATCTCCATTGTTTACATGGCATTCTCGGGGGTGGGGGAGCGGGAGGGGGGTTGTCTCTAAATTTCTCCTTTTTGTAAGGACACCAGTCATATTGGATTAGGGCCCATTCTAACGACCTCTTTTGAACCTGATGACCTCTGTAAAGACCCAGTTTCCAAATAAGGTCACAGTCTGACGTGCCGGGGGTTGGGAGCACATCATATGAATGTTACAGGGACACAATTCAACCCGTGACAGGGGCCCCAGGGAACTCCTGGGGGGCTATGGCACTGTTACGTGTTTTAATTGGGGAGGTGGTCCCCTGTCCTCATGCGTCAGTCAAAGCTCATAAAACTGCACCCTAAAAAGGGTACATTTTGTTGCATGTAACATAACTTCATTTTTAAACGAGAAACAATAAAACAGACCTCCCCTATTTTTCTTCAAGAGATTATTGCCCTTCCCAACCTACCCCACTGTCCTGACTACATCGTGTGTTCCAGGCATCTGAAGGGTAAAGGATTATTTTTGCAGAACGCCAGCCAGGTTACGGTTTTACAGAAAAGGCTGTTTCTCTGCTCCTTGTATTTATCTATATGCAACGTTCCAGCACAGCGTAAAGATTCCATCACATTGAATGGCCCATTTAGTGAATTGCCTTTCTGGAGTCAGATGAAGTCATGCCCAGTGACGGTTGGCTGGGAGAATCTGGTTTGGGACCTGCCAAGGTTAGCTGGAGCCAGGCTCCACAGCCTGCGGGTAGCAGCCGCACACTTTGCCCACAAACCTCTGGAGCCTGGGGCCCCACCTGAGGCCACTCAGAGGACACCTGCAGGAGAGGGCGACAGGAGGTCGGACAGCCTGTCAGCTACACTTGGAGACACGGGAAAAAACTGGGCAGGTGGCCTCATCTTCCCAGGCCGGCCCTGGGTGAGTTGTCTTGCGCCATACGATTCATTGGGGGGGGGGGGGGGGTAGGGGGAGGGGGCAGGGATGTGTAGGTGAGAGACACATAGACGTGGCTTTGCGGAGGAGGACACATGTTCAAAGGGGTGAGAGCTAACAAACCTCAGAGCCCTTCTTCCCACTCACATCTCCCGGCGACTTCTCCTGTCCCTGTGCATTATCTATCTTATTCTGCCACCATCAGACTTATATAGCCTGTGTGTGTGTGTGTGTGTGTGTGTGTGTGTGTGTAAAACCTAAGTCACGGGGTACAGGGATGCCTGGAGAAGAGAAGCGATATTTCTGGAAGGATCCAGAGTGTGGTACAACCGACGCCGATTCCCCGGCCCCCAGCTTTCAGGAAAGGTGTTCTCTTTGTAGACGGCTCCTTCTGAACACACCGACTTTGTCAGTCTGCGCAGGGGCGGTGTGACTGGGCCCCGGGGAACTGAGGCCAACTGGGGCCCACAGGGAGCCAACTGGAAAGAAAGTTGCTCAGAGCCAGTCTTCTCGAGGCGCTCAACCAGCACACCCCCCAGACGTGGCTGAGCGGGGTAAGGGAACATGGAGCTTCATGACAGCGCTCAGGGTGGGACCGCTGTGGGCACGCTGGCGGGCTGCCGGGCCAGGCCTCCGAGGACTTTGACAACATGGCTTGTTCTTTCCGGTTATCCGTCAGAAATGAGCTCACTGTTTTGGTAACCTTCTCAGCCTTCACATTTTTGTGGATGCTCTGTCTAGCTTCTATTCGGTCTGGCCCTGCTCTTTTGTCCCTTCATGTTTTGCTCCCGGG